ACCCTCGCACAGAGAGAGAGAGAGAGAGAGAGAGAGAGAGAGAGAGAGAGAGAGAGAGAGAGAGAGAGAGAGAGAGAGAGAGAGTATGTACACCGTTGTTGAACACTCGAACACCTAAAATATTGCACATACTCCGTAAATGCGTGGTGCAGAATTAATCATGATATGCATAGCCTGTGCATCGAACAATTGCATTCAACGTTGTCCACTAGCAATGTCTGTATCACCGCTGTCCACCATGGTCTCTGATGCGCAGTCAAACCATGTGTGAGCACGAAGTATTTCCTCTCCTGTTGATAGTGCCGGATGCAATGTAGCACCAGAACCGCTGGCTAAAACCCCATGCAGGAGGCAACTAAGGTCCAGGCCCCACGTAAGTGATGTTGCGAGGACAGCCTTTTTGTTGACCAAGACAAACCATGACTTCCCCATACGTGACCATTTTTTTCCGTTCGAGAATGATCTCATAATGGTCATCAGTGCTGCATACTGGAGTGCGCCCTCAGGTGTTGCGTCCTTTAGCACGACACGCAACAGTAAATGAGGATTAGAGAATACACATGCCAACCTAAGAATCGCATGTTCCCACCCTTTTTACACTTGTCCTCCCCCTGCTTCCAAATCCCAGTAGGCATTATATTCCTCACCCTACTCGTCGCTGCTCACATCGTTGCCACTCACTTCCACCTCATAGTTAGGCAACCTTGCATCTTTTTCATTGTTCCTCACTCTTGTTTCTTCAATGTCATATTCGAAATCGATCGGTAAAGAAGAGTCTTCGAACCCTCATTCCCGTTGTTGTTCCGTCATTGTCCACTCATTGAACACATCTTCTTCTTGTACCTCCTTCGTGGACATTGTGTTTATTGGAGAACGCACGATGGAGACAGTTCTCACAATTTCTTCCCCTGCTGAAGTGTGTCCATTTGCTGCATGAAGTACAACATCTGCTTCCCTGGCCACCAACTTTCATCCTTCTTCCCTTGACCTCTTTCTGTCCACCTCAGAAGTCGCAATGTTGAGGCGATGCAAAGCTGCCATGAATATTCCATCCCACAATGGAGTACCACATACAACATCCTCCTCCACACTCCGCACTTTGTAGTTAATGAGGTCCTTGCCCGCCAGTGCTTGCTCTGTCACATCATGTAATGCCTCATGTATGACATTCCGATCGTCAGGTTTCTTTTTCATGAAATTCACCAAAACATACTCCACCCCGTTTGCAATAATTACAGGAAGATCTTGGAAGTCTTGCGGGGGAGCTTGCAGTATGTCCTTCAAACGCGAGAGTACTAAAATTTCTGCTGCACCGCTCTTCATCTCGTCCTTAGAATCTTCAACAAGCATTCCCCATTTCTTTGCCTGTGTCATGAGCATCTGCTTAAAATCGGTTGGCATGTATGTCCCACCCTTCTGCTGCTTTGTCATATCCACGTCCCCTTCATCAGACATCCCGTCTGTGCACATCCAACCAACCACTTTTCTCAAACTGTATGCACTGGTATCATCACTGTTGTCTACACGCAAATCATGTGCCTCAGTGAACCGTGCCAATAACATCCGTGCTCTGAGCGACTCCTCTCCGTTCGCAGCAATGCTTGCACGGATGTTCACTCTGACATCAAAGTAACTCAGCACTCTCTCCGTGAGTAGTTCAAGCTCCCCGTCGTCATCGTAGTGGATGCCCTCCTCCGCGTATTGCATCACCTCTTGAAGAGCTGCCCTCGGTTGCGTAGCTGACATCGACATGATGGTTGTGCTTTTGTCTTTGTGTCTGTAAGTGGAACGACAAAACGATGATCTAAAGCTCCATGAGGGTTTGTTTAATGTTGTTTGTGTGTCCCTCTGCTAGAAGTATGCGGTCGTTCAACGCTGCCAGTCAGTACACGGATATCTTACGAGGGTTGGCTACTGGGTGTCATTTTTTCTTCGAATCAATGAGATCGAAATGAATCCGGCACGCAGTAGTCAACTCCTCCAACCCTGCTCTCACTCTCCTCCCAACCACTTCCCATTTGTGTCTGACAGTGGTAGGGGGTGTGCCGCAGTCCAATGACATGTTCCCCCCAACCCCCCCCCCCCCCCCCCCCCCCCCCCCCCCCCCCCGAATCTAGAAACACATTGACCACCCAACCAAAGACAAAGCCACCATGAGTCCCCCAGCTTCCCAAACGTGTGAAGCATTGTACGTATCACAGGGCTAGGAACCATTCATTCATAAAGCCATGGAGGGCATAGTACAACTTACCTAAGACGGAATAGTCCTCCGCCAAGATCGAGTGTGTGTGTGTGTGTGTGTGTGTGTGTGTGTGTGTGT